TGGGATAGGCTTCCAGGGCATCCAGCACTTTCAACTTCACATCATCTACTTCATAGACTTCACCTTGGATCTGCTGAAATGAACCTCTCTCGGGTGAGCTATTTTCGCCAGGGAAGGTGGTTAGTGACACAAAAAAGAAGAACGAAGCAGAAAAAGATATGCTCGAGGTATCCCATGTAGATCTCCATGCGCAACCGCGCTCGTACGTGCTTAAGGCGAAGAAAGAGAGTGGATGGACGAGTTCTCACTTTTTAGTGCCAACGCTTTTCTCTGATAAATTCACTCTCACCATACGAAATGTAGAGAATTAGTAGCGGAATAACCGTCATTAGTTAGTTAAAAATGAACGTTGGGCGTTGCCTTGGTCAGTGGGCGGAGCCGCGGCCTCCTCCGCAAGGGGGACACGCTTTCTTCGCGTATTTTCTAGCTGTGACGAAAGCAGTACGTCCATGTTTGCATACAGAACTTTACTTTACTTCATTTTATTAGTATCGGTAATCGGACTACCATGGCCAAGGAGGCGTATGCCCATCAAATGGACGTGTCTTTGAATCCCTGTTTCCTGCCCTGCGGCATGCTCATCTACGGGAAGGCTGTATTATGGTCGGCTAATTTCTGATTGCGGACTGCATCGCTCAACAGCAAATGGGGCAAAAGAGGGTGGGGGGTGTAGGACATCTGGTTGTGTTCCATGTTCCACGATGCAGCAAGATCCACGCTGCAGCGACGCACAGAAACTAGCTTGCATTTTCCAGCTAGTTGTTCTACCCTAGCGCTTCTACTTCAAGACATTCAGGTCCTGGTGCGAATGCCGCGCACGTGGATCGCCTGCACTCAGAATCATGAAGATGGTTAAGCGTTTTATGTGACGTTAGCAAGGAAAGCACTAAATTTATGTACGAAATCACTCACATATCCTTTGCCGGGTTCATTTAGTACGAATGGTATATTGTATTTGGAGGCAACAATGAGTGGATATGGCGTTTTTGTCCGTCCCTCTCCAACAAATCGATATCGTCCGTCGGTGTTCGTGAGAACAGCTGCATTCGGTTCGCCTCTTTTCAGTGTACCATAGACGAACACACGAATCGGAAGGCTGGGAGACATACCTTAATGGGTTAAGCATCACGAAATAGTTACAGGACCACCTTCAAAGGTTTGGAAATCTTT